TCTCTCCCTGCTGTATTGCCCCTAAATCAAAGGTTGTCTTTTTAGCAGGAATGTTCATGAAAAAGTTTGAAGTGAACCAGTAAGCCAACGTTCTAAAATTGTTGATACATCCGGCTGGAAAATTGCCAAACCAACGCTGGGCTATGCCCTTCAAAGTAGCCAGGAAGCATCAACACCAGGAGGCGTCCTCCAAACCCTACAAATACATCAGGTTGATGTAAGCCATGAGGTGATCTTCCGGATTGGTGGTACCGTCATAGGCACCAACCAATACATTTTTTATTTTGGCAGGCTATGCCGCCTCAATTATATCCTCATGGCTTAAAAGTTTAAGGTGAAAAGGAGAGGGAAAATTAGAATAGAACAGGGAAAAGACGAAAGAAAGAAAGAAGAAGGGGTTTTTTTAAAAAAACAATTTGGCACCGGTTTGAATCGGTTAGAAAAACGCAGATCCCACCGGTTTGGTCTGAAACCGGTGCGTAATCCCTGCCACCCCCCTTTTTTTAATTCCGTAATTGGCACTGGTTTGAACCGGTGCGAAAAATTTGATTTAGCACCGGTTTAATAGGAACCGGTGGGAAAAGTATTTTCCCCAATCCCGCCCATATCTTTTCCCACCGGTTTTCAAGAACCGGTGCAAAAAGTGCGCTACGGAATTCATTTTTTCTACTAGTGCCTCAATACCAAAACCCACCTCCACCTCAAAACCAAAACCCAAGAGGAAACTACCCTAGAGAAACCAATACAACAACCAAAACCAATACAACAATCAAAACCAAATTTGTCAAAGGAATCAAGATCAAGCACCTCAAGTTGATCTAACACAAACCCAACTCCTCCAAGCCATGAACCAACAACTACAAAACTTTGGCCAACAACTCCAAACCCAAAGTCAACAAATGCAAGAATTCAAGGCCCATAACAAGATAGTGGACTCCCAATTAGCCCAATTGGCCAAAAGAGTATCCTTCAATTCACCTTCTACTCTAGCCAGACAACAACAACCTAACCCTTCACATACCTATAAACCCGAGTCTTGCAAGGCTATCACCTTGAGGTCGGGGACCTCTTATTGCGGTCCCAAGGAGAATAAGGTAAAAAAGAAGAATTGTGACGTGGAAAAGAGAAAAAAATGAAGAGGTGGTAGAGGAGGTGGCTAAGAAGAAGGAGGTACCTATTGATCTTAGTGTTCTGAACAAATTTGAAAGCAAGGTTCCTTTCCCTAGTCAGCTAATTGAGAATAGCTTGAATGAGAAGTTTGTTAAATTTTTGAGGGTAATGAAGGGTTTACACATCAACATTCCCTTCCTTCAGGCGATCACACAAATGCCTCCCTATGCAAAGTTCCTCAAGGAAGTTCTCTCCAACAAAAAGAAGATTGTTTCGGGGTTTTTTGATGTGTCCTGCGGGAGAGTTACAATTCCTAGTATGCAGAGTCCGACGTCTGTAGCTACAAAATCACGGAGACTCCGGCTGGGGGGTGGAGTTCTGCCTCCGACGATTAAGTTAGAATACGTCTAATGTAATAAATGCGGAACAGTAAATACTTCTCGCTGATTGGGAGAATTCTGCAATTATCTATTGCTCGGGGTTTGTGTTTTGACTTGTGTATATCCAATAAATGCGGTCTCCCCCACTATTTATAGTGAGGAACTTTTATTTTCCAGTTTTAGGGTTCAAAGGACACATGTCGCAAAGGGATTGGAGCCTTTGCTGACCACTAAGGGGATGTCACGTGTAAGGGGCCTATTGGGCCACGTGTCTAGGGTAATTTTTACCCTAAAAAAAGATCAATGAAGATCTCATCACTCTTCCTCTTCAAGTTAGTGCTTTGTTCCAACAAGAGATTCCCTAAAAGCAACGAGATTCGAGAATTTTCACTTTGCTGGTCAAAATTGGCAATTTGGAGGTCATGGGTGCCTTGGCCGACCTTGGAGCTAGTGTTAGCTTGATTCCCTTGTCCATTGCTAAGCAACTCAATATCGAGATGATCCCCACAAGAAAGACCATTCAACTAGCCGATTGATCGGTTAAGATGCCTTGTGGTGAGCTTGAAGATGTTCCTATTCAAGTGGGGCACATCTATGTTCCATGTGATTTTGTGGTGATGGATATGGAGGAGGATGTAGTCACCCCATTGATTCTTGGTAGAGAAGCTCTCAAGACCTTGGGTGGGTGATCAATTGCAAAAACAACACAATCACTTGTGAAGTTACCGATGAAAAGATTGTGTTTGAGTTTTCAAAAGCATTCAATAACCCCGGGTTGAGAGGGCTTGTAGAGTTGATGTGGTTGAGGGGTTGGAGACTTGTATGGAGGAATCCTATTTTAGCGATCTTTAAGAGGAAATTATGGCTATTGAGAGCCCACCTCGTGATACAAGCAAACCTAACCAAGAAGCTTTTAAGGAGGGTGTGGTTGCCCCTCCGGAGAATGAAGGTCCAAGGTTTGGTTCCCCACCTAAGAAGAATGAGAAAATGGAAAAAAGATAAAAAGAAAGAACAAGATGAAGAAGAAAAAGAGAAAAAATGAGCTAGCATTGGCTCTTGAGATGCTCCCGCCTTTCCCTTGTGACGATTTGGGGTCACAAGGAGTAATATGTCCCAAGCTTGGAGGCATCTATAATTCCACCTATGAGATAAATAAGGCGAATTCTTTGATCCACCTTGAATAAGGTAAAGGGTCAAGCTAGAGACCCTAAACAAGCGCTTTCCGGTAGGCAACCCGGAGGATTTCTAACCCTTTTCTCCCCTTCCTTTCGTTTTCTCTTTGTTTTCTTTCTTTTTTCTCTTTTAATGTTTTCTATTGCGTCTTCTCTTGCCTTGTAGGTTTCCTTTGGGAAGCTTGGAGTGGAGTTACATTTGGTGAATTCTATTTTATGCTCCTTTGTTCTTTTAAGCCAACCTCCCGGTGAGACCTTTCTTATTTCTCCTTTTTATTACTCGGTGTGCTTAATTTAGGTTAGTTTAGGAGGAAATTGAATAGTTCTAGGTTGTTTTCTTTGGTTCTACGGAACCTAGGGATCGTTGATGTTGATATCGAACGATCTTTGTATGACGATTGGGACTTTACTTGTTTTATATGCCTTATTTTTGAACTATTTGATTTCATCCTTCTTTATTTTTCTTTCTTTTCCTTTTGATAAACATGACTATGGAAACTTGATAAAAATGTGTTTTGAATTTTACTCATACATTTGGACTTGATTGCTTTGATATTGTGTCTTTGAATACTTTATTCTTCCTAGTGGGTGATGGAGAACACGGTTTGAGAGTGAATTTGGTTGAGTTTGACAAATTTTAACGCTAAGGTAGCAAGGTTAAGAATTTTGAGGCCATTTGAAACCTTAGTTCACGGGAAAGTCGAAAGATGGAATTGCTCTCTATAGTGGATTTGAAACCCTTAGTATTTGCTTGGTTTTAATCCCTAGTGAGGTTATATTGTTTTAGCCTTCATCACTTTGTTGAGTAGCGCATTTAGGATCCTTAGCTATGCATGTATTAATCCTTGGTTTGACCTCTAGCTTCCCAAGACTGTGACCAAGCCACTCTAGGGGAGGACAGGGGCATAGTTTATTTTCTTTATCTTCTTTTTGTTTTGTTACATATTTTTTTTTTATTTTGCATTTTCTCCTCTTGCTAACCCTTTGAACCTATTCCCTTTCTTGATTATAAGCCACATTAAAAACCTAGTGACCATTTTATTTCCCTTGACCCTTAGTGATGTGAAGCAAGTTGGTTAGAAAGCTTGTTTTGTGATGATTTGAATGAAAGAAAGTAATATGCTCTTTGGACCAAGCAAGAAAATAAATTGTATATATTGTGTGTAATAAAGCAAACGCATTCAAGAAAAAGCCGTCCATAGTTAAAAAAAGGCAATGACACCATTTAAAAGCCAAAAAAAGAAAAATTCCATAAAATTTTGAAAATCAACCATTTACAACAATAATATTTTGGTTGGTTTCGTTTTCTTCCCTAGTTTAAGCATTGAGGACAATACTCCGTTCAAGCTTGGGGGGGGGGGAGCGTTCCTTTGTTTTTGTATATATTATGTGTTGGTGTTGAATAAGCTTGGGGGAGATACTGTTATTGGTATTTTTGTTTGATGTTCGCTGACTTCTTGAGTCTGTTTTTGAGGTTTGATCACCCTTTTGCTTCATTGGAAATATCACCAAAATTTGATAAATTTTTGCCCCGCCTTGACCCCTAGCCTTACGTTACAACTAATAAAAGACCCTTAGACCCTTGAGGGTTGAGTCAACATCAATGGAGTGAGATAGACTTTAAACCTACGGAGAGAGTATGCATAGTTAAGACGTCGAGATAACCTTATCATGTTTCCACATAAATACATCCTTTTCGGTTCCTTCGCGAAATCATGAGAAGCTAACTAAGGGGCGATTTGAAGCTAGTAGAGAGAACGTAGCCCGTTTTGGTTGGGACTAGGGCGTAGAATGAAATAACTAGTTTTCTATGCTTAGCTTAGTTTTTGTCACTTTCAACCATAAGCATCTTAGAATGTGATTTCCTTCGTCTAATTGAGAAAGGTGAGTATTCTTTGATGCATGTCTCTTCCTTTTGAGTCCAAATGGAGCATTTTCCACCTTAAGGTTTGATTTGTTTTCCTAAGCCTTGCCATGTTATGTTCGTCATAGTAGTGTTTGCTTTTGGTGTTTTCCTATTCTCTTTTTCCCTTTAAGTCTTGCTTGAGGATAAGCAAGAGGCAAGTGTGTGGGATTTTGATGAGTGGCATTTATGCCACTATTTCACCCCTCTTTAGGGAGGGTTTACCCTCATTTGTCACTTGTTTCTGCCTACTGTAGTCATTTTTATCCTTATTTTTATTATCTTTGCTCCCTTGCATGTTTTTCTTCTTCTCTTATCTCTTCTTGTGTTTTCTAACATTTTTGTCTTTGTTTTGCAGGTTTTTAGTGCTCTCGGAAGAAGGAAGACAAATTTTGTTGGCCATGGAGAAGAAGAGAAGGCAGTTTGGAGAGGGTGCTGATAAGGTCGTAAAAATATAATATTTATATCTATTAAACTCTTGATTTTATATTGATATTTGATGGTTTAAAGATATATTACGTAATTTTCTTATCTAGACACGAGTTACTATTATTTATTTTTATTGTTTGTAGGAAAGAAAATATTGGCATCAAATTGCACATTACGACACGCCAGTTAAGAGAAGCAAAGTTTATAAGCCCGTTGACTCTCAACTATTTAAAGCCCAATGTTGTTTTATTGTGTAAGCTATTACAGTTGGGCCTTGAAGTATAACAATCTGTCACATAACATATTAGAAAGAGGAGAGCAGCTCAAACTCTTCATTGTTCTCACTATTCTTGCGGGTAAGCCAAAGAGTAAATCCCTTGAGCGAGATTGAAGGTTATAAATTTTTCAAGCAAGAAAAGATAGAGATGAAATCAGATAAGGATGAGAGCGTTCGAGATCAAAGATTCCCGCTGATAAGATTGGGATGTCGAATTGGAAGGAGAAGGCATTTTCAGATTTGAAGATTTACGTATACTTGGGTTGTTTTGGGTACCGAATCAGAGAGGAGGGAGGCCGAATTGCATGCGAGAAGAAGACCAGCAACAGCGAACTCAGGAGGAAGCTGATTTCGGCGACAGAGGAACCGAGGTGGTTGTAGCTCTCGGTTTGCTACGATATTGATTTGGGTATTCCGATCAGCTACTCCGAAACAGAAAAAGGATCTGATTTTTATTTTAGGGATTTTCTGGGCTACGTTCAGGGCAGCAAATTGATGAGCTTCATCTGAATTTTGCGAGGTACCTAGCGAGCAGGAGGATAAGCAAAAACGGACTAGTCGAGGTGACTCGGTTCAGCTTGTGTCTACTCTGATTCTCATTAGAAGATTTGGTACTGTATTTATGCTTTCATTCTCTTTTTATTCGATTGTCAGCTTTGGTTTATCTTGGATTAGTAGTAGTATAAGTTTTGCTTTGGAGAATGAAAATGAAAGTTAGTGTTTTTGTTCTTGAATGCGTTAGTATACTAGCTGGTATACATCTTGGTAGATTAATTTAATTATTAGTTTTATTTTCATTTATTAGGTGACTAAAGCTTGTTATAATGCCTAAGATTATCAACCCTTTGAGTTGCATGAGTCCGAGCTTGTGAGATTTGGGGATAAGTTAACTACTCCCTTGTTATTAACACTACTAATTAATCGAGTCTAGAGATCTTGTTCTAGATTATTAGTTGGTAAGACAATATTCCAAGAGCTTGTTTGGTCTATTTGCAATTAAAGGAAGTTTTGAATGCTTGTTTGTGCTCATTAGTTAACATTAAGATATAGTCATGATTATATATAATTCAATGATCAATTGATACTCCAATGCTATAGTACGTCTCCCGTTTCCCTATTTCATTATTCTTCATTTTATAGTATCTTAATTTTATTAGTTTATTTCTCTGACTTTATTTGTTTTCTAGTTTATAGTTTATTTTTTAGATCATATTTTCCTTATTCAAATCAGGGGTTTTTAACATTCACAAGTAATAATTTGATAATCTAATTCTCTGTGGGATCGACCCTAGCTTACCCTACTACATTTAGGAGGTTTTAGTTAGGTTTACTTTTGGTAGACACGCGACAGTCGTACCGAGTGCACAACAGGCCAAGTAACCGCGAGCGTGGTGCTTGACTTGGAAGATTCCTGCATGTTCATGTAGAAGGCTGGCCCCGCCCCGAATGAGGGCTCTCCACTAACCACCACGGGCGCGGCATATAGAGCCGCGGGCGCGACTACCTAACGACCTGACTTCCCCTATTATAGCGCCGCAACTTCTCCTTAGTCGAGAGAGGCCTCTCTATCTGTCACCGTGGGCGCGATGATCCAGGCCGCGGGCGTGGTCCTTGAGGTCTCCTTTCCATACCCAAATGAAATAGGGCGCGATGCAGCTAGAGATAGCGCAGCATTAGTTCGTTATTTCCGGATTTCTTAAGCGCTACAAATAGACTTTTTCTTGAATTTGTGAATTATTTAATTTTTCCAAATATTACTAGAATTTTGTAGTGAGAGAAAGAATAGAGATTTTAGAGAGAGAAAGTGGTTTAATCATCAAGTTTCATCATTGTAATCAAGATTTCTTCAAGTTTTCCTTCAATCTAATGCAAGTATTTCATAATTCTTCATCAATCAAGCTTCATATTATTTTGTTAGATTGCTTTTGATTGTGTAGATTTTCATCTATTGTTTTGATTTTACTTGTTTGATTAATAATCTTGGATTTGGAATTATGTTTTGTTTGGTTAAGATTGAATTCATGCTTAGTGTAGTTTTGATGGCTAATTTCTCTTCTCTAGCTTAGATTTCTTACTAGGGAAGGGGGTGAAGATCATGATTAGCTTGGATAATGGTGTTGATTGATAGGATATTGCTTTGAGTTGATGATTTTGTGCTTAAATTGCTTGGAATTATTGATGTGCACTCTAATTCCATTTACTTGATTTCTAAATTGGATGCATGGGAATGATCTAGTTTAGTGTTTATCTATTTCATCAACTTGCTTGAATAATTACATGGGAATGAGTTATTTGGGTAAAATTAATATTGAATAGCATTTATCCCTGTTAATCTTCATTGTTTCCTTGGTTTATCATGATTGGAACCCTCTCTCCCTAGTGATTTGATCATTTTTCTCTACTCTAGTGTTTAAACTTCATTTTAGTTCATTTAGTTTGATTTCTTTTTGTTTCGGGGTTTTCTGATGTCCTGCGGGAGAGTTACAATTTCGGGACTGGAACCGTGCGCCTGTACCTGCAAAACAATGGAGACTCCGGGTGGTGGGAGCTCCGCCTCCGACGATCAAGTTAGTACTTGTTTTAGGAGTAATCAATGCCGAAAAGTAAAGGTAATTAATGTGTTTTGGCTTCTCTAGGTGAGAGTAATTAATTGCTCAATCCCCTTTAATGACGATTAATTAAAGTATTTATAACCTTGGAAAACATGTCAAACCCTAGGTTTTTAGGTTAACCTAGGGATGACTGGGCTTCCCTTGGAAATTGGGCCTAGGTGGCCTACTTGGCATACAGAGGCCACGTGACGTGACGCAACTGGTCCATGGTGGACAGATCAGCTCCTGACACATGGCAGGCTTCTATTAGCCCATGTGGCGGACACATGGCAGGGCCTAATTAGTCCACTTGTCAGATGATGATTGGTAGGGAAAAATCCCCTAATCATTTGCCCCTCACAGGTGGCGCGTGACTGTTCACATGTCACCTGTGACAGGTGTCGGCCTATAACAGGCGACGGCCTGTTACAGGTGTTACCCTATGATGGGCTGAGCATTTTTCCCGCTCATTTTTTGAATTTGGAAGCGACCCTTTGCATTCTCCTTTTGCCCTATATAAGGGCATGTTGACCAAGTCTTTTGTTCACATTTGCGAACTTTTCTTAAGAACTCTCGGACTCCTAAACTTGAGCTCTGACACTTTGCAACTTTTGACCTGCCGACTACTTCTGACAGGACGACTGCTTTCGTGGACGACTGCTCTACTCATCACTCAGGTAACCGTCTGCTCTCTTGTGTTTTATTTTCTTTCTTTTTGAAAATGAGGCCTCAAAAGCATCCGGCACGGCCTAGGTTAGCAATCAGCCAGTCACCGGGGACGGTTGAATCTAGGACTAGGGGTGCCGAGTGCCCTGCGGTACATCAAACTTTGTGCAAGTCCCGGAATCCAACTATCTTTGTATCTATGCAGGACAGTATGGCAAGGACAAAAAGAACAACGAGGATTGAAAACTTTGATGGATCCTCTTTCCGGGTTCAGATTAGCGACCTTTCGGATCAGCCGCCTGATACCGCAGGGACCCAAGGTGGCCCTTATGCCGAGAGCTTTGAGTAGGGAGCTAAGGTAGTCCCTTCCCACTTCCTTGTTGACCTGGCCAATCAGCAGATGACCCCTGAAGAAGAAGCGGGGTCGGCCCCCTCTGGGAGAGGGGAGGAGTCGGACTCTTCTGGTAGTGAGTCTGACTCCAGCTCTTCAAGCCACCTTTCTGTAAACTCAGAGGAAAGGCATGCTCGTTTGCATGAGGCGAGAATTTCTCATGCGGCCAAAAAGGGGGACGGCTTGTCGGAACCATCCGCCTCTCATAGAGAGTACAACACTTCTTATTACTGTCATGTCCCAAAGGGCCGGATCAAGGCCATGAAAGATCAAATAGACACCTTTCTATCGGACCATACGATAGACCCGGATTTCCAAGTGTTTGTGCCGGATGGTGAGGATACGGTCGTCTGGCCCGCTGGGTCTAGCTACGGGGACGCCTGCTTTGGCTGCTACGAGGCGGCCATTAAGGCTAGATTGCGATTTCCCTTGCATCCGGCCGTCCAACAAATCCTCGATGGATACGAGGTGGGGCTATGACAGTTAGCCCCGAATTCCTGGTTCAACATCCTTGGCTATGTAGCCGGGTGTGAAATGCATGGGGTGGAGCCGAATTTTGAGGCGTTCACCCATATGAATTACTTCAGCCGAACCCCCAAAGCAAGCGATACCGGCTGGTATCAAATAACCTTCCACAAAGGCTATCTGATAACGAGGGGTAAAGAAAATAAATGGAAGGATTGGAGAAACACCTTCCTCATCATTGCTAGCCCTGACAAGATGCTGAACAAGCGCTACAATAGGTGGAACAGGGATCCACCTCTTCTAGCAGGCGGTCGCAGCATGCCGCTTGCTCCCCTCAAGGCCAGGGAAGAGATCCTGGACCGAGGGCTGTTCAAAGTAGAGATTAAGGCCAACTCTACTACAAGGGAACGAGAGCAGGTGCCCTTGCACTGCGTTCCCAAATTCAAATAGCTCTATGATGAGTTTTTTTTGGCCGCTTGCGGCCTTAGCAGTCGGTCCTCCAGAGGTAGCCGGCCTCTTGAATATACGTACCCTTCTTTTGATTTGTTTTCGAATTTTTTCTAACTCTTGTGGTTCTTATTTGCAGTTGACGCTATGGACCAAATCTCTGCTTCAAAGAAGGCGGCTGCCATGTTGCGAGCCTCCATCATGCAACAAAAGCGAACCTCTTCTGATTCTCCTGCCAAGGAGACGCCCATAGTGAGTTTATGATCCTTCAAACTTTGCCATGAAAGTCTGGTATTATTAGTATTGACATTTCATCTTTTTTCGCAGGCGGGCACTTCCAAACCCTCATCCTCCCAACAGCCGGACTCGAAGGTTCGGAAGACGACTGGTGGGAGTACGCCTGGCTCTGCCAGGAAACAGTCGGCTAACAAGCAGCCAATAACCCCACAAAGTGTGGGGAACCCATCTAAAGTCCTTAGTCGGCCGCCAAGAAGTATAAACTGCTCTTGCTAGACTTAACTTATTTCTTCATTGCTTTCTTCACGTTTCTGATGTTTTTCTTTGTTTTGATGTAGGCGGCCCTCAAGAACCAGACTTGGTCCAAGTAGCCAAGTCTATGATTAAGGCCGTCCCTCTAGAGGAGCGGGACGCGGTCAAGGGAGTCGGCATCCTTGACCTAGACGGCATCCTGGGTCTCCTTTTTGAGGTAGACTTAGAATAAATTTAAAGTGCTGACTTTTCATGACGCCTGTTTTCCCTTTTTCCAGACCATGCTGGGAGTACACGGCCTCCAAAGGCCGATCAGCACCGAGAACAAAGAGGTAAAGGCTGCTAAAGCTATGACCGCCTTTGACGTTGATAAGGCAATGTTTTAAATTGCCTAAAATGAAATTTTGACAACTGATATTCTTAATTATCAGGCGCAGGCCACTTCCACTATCCGGACTGAGTTGGAGGCGGCAAAAAAGAAGAATAATGAGCTGGAGGCGAAGGTCAAGAGCCTCAACGATGAGCTGCGGCCCCTTAAACACATTTCCCACAAGGCTGAAGG